ACTACGGACGGCTTGATCCCTTGGGAAAGGGGGTACGTAGGCAACCTCTTTGGTGCAGCCGGATTTGATGAGACGACGTAGTGGTACTCATGTTTGGTGTCGGTTCAGTTTTGGTAAAACTTTGCCGAGGTGGAGAATTGAAGAAACGACGAAGAAGAACAGGAAATTTGAAGTGCACAGGATTGGCTACGGGTCGGTCGACTGACGACATAGGCCCGGTCGACCAATAGACTGTGGAAATACAGGGGCATAAACCCTGTTCTGGTCGGTCGACCGAACGAGTTCTACTGGTCGACCGAAAACATGGTCGGTCGACCGAATGCTCATGCCCGATTGACCGAAAAGGTGCACAATTACAGGGCTAATTTTCAGCTCTCTGGTTGGTCGACCGCACTCTTGTGCCCGGTTGACCGCGATGCAGTTATGGGCCCAGTTCGGTTTTCCCAGTTGGTTTTGGTTTGTGTTTTGATATAAATTGAAACATGATTTTAGGATTTCTAAATCAGAGAAATGAGAGACTTTTGAGCACTTTGAGAGGGAGATATTGTGAGAGAGTTGACAGCTTTAGTTATGGTTATATTTGAGTGATTTTGTGAGTTGTAACCTGTTATATTTCTCCTCCATATAGTGAAATCTCCCCATCCTCTCCTTGTGGATGTAGGCAATTGCCGAACCATATAAATCTCTGTGTTTGGTTTGATTTGTGTCGTATTTTTGGTGGATTGCACTTGTGATTTGATTTGGTTCTCTTCTCTCGTGTCTTATCGACTCGTTTTGTTGTCGAGCATGCTTCCGCACAACGCGCAACAATTTGATGGCACGGTAAAATTAAAGATGTGATTGATTAGTTGGAGACTTCTAACCAACCGATCATAGATTTAGTTTCTCTACTTAATTGTATTTCATATAATAATCTTTTTGCCTAACAAAAGTTAGAGTTAGTTATGAATTTGGGTGTGGAAGACTAGAGATGGCTAGCGGGGCAGGTCGAACCGTTTTGATCCGCCCAAATTTGTCCCATGAACCTGCACAAACCGGATTCAATTAGGTACGAGATGAGTATAGACCAGACTCGTTTATGAGACGAGTTAGCCCAAGTCTTCTCGTGAACAGTAAACGAGATGAGTCTGATTTGTCTCATGATGAGTCAGGGGATGAGTTGGATCGGGTAAAATTACCCTAATTCTCGGTAGTAATTTTTTAAGGCCCTTCTACACAAGTATTGATTAGATAAAAAAAATAATGGTCAGCCCAAAAGTTAAAAATTTTAGAAGGACCCTAACGGCTAAAAAAGAGAGAGAAGGGCTGCCAAATTAATAGGCAGTCCAAAAAAAATTAAGCTCAAAAAAGAGTCATTGGAAGTGAGCGAGTGCCATGATTAAGCCTTTTTTTTGGGTGGGGTGCAACTAAAAAATATATAAATAAAACCTTCCCCCACTGCTCCCCCCTAGCCTATGAATACACCATGACCTAAATTCCTTTCATTCTTCACGACTCTAAATCTCTTCTTCTTCTACAATATCAACTCTCATTTTTTTTTTAGATTAAAAATAGGGGACAAAATGCCCTGTTCATTCATTAAAAAAGATGTATATGTATGTACAAAAGATGACATGAAATATGTCATGTAGTTAAAGAAAAAGAAAGCCTAAGATCTGTCCATAAGGATACATGACTTTCTTCTTCCAAACATCCCTGAGGGTGAAGATTGGGTCTTGCCGTCATTCATCACATGCATAAATATAGGAAAGAACCAAAGGCAGCTATGCGTATGAAGACATATGCAGAGATTTCTAAATTCTAACTACAAAAATAAAAGACAACCACAAGTATTACGTAGAAAAACTATGAACCAAGAGGAGACCCCTAAAGTCCATATAACTATAAACAAAACTTCAGTTGAGCTTCGACTTCCTGAGTTGCACCCATACCCTTCAAATCCCTTGCTCTCTGCGTCAACTGCCATAGGAAACAAGTTAGCTAAGAAATCTTTTGAGATGTTTGTAGCTGTAGTTCTACTAGTCACACCTGACCATTCAATAATAGCTTTGATAATAGAATTGATAATAGAGATATGTGAGATATTAAGTTTGTCAAAAATACAGTCATTCCTCGATTTGCAGATGTTCCAACAGACTAAAGAAAATACGGTTCGCAATAAAAAACGTCTAGAACTTGATAGATGTAAGTTCTCCAAGATATCCATTAATTATTCAAAAGAATATGGTCTTGAGAAAGGAAGTAAAATATTTGAAAAATAGCTCCAAACTAGTTTTGCCATTTGGTGAGAGAAGAAGAGGTGTCCTCTAGATTGATTTGTTCATCATAGAAGGGACATGACAAATCTCCTTCCCAACCTTTTTTGACTAGGTTGTCTTTTGTGTTTAATCTATTTTCAGATAACAACCAAGTGAAGAATCTAACTTTCCTAGGAAGGATAGAGTTCCACACAATTCTGAACAAGGGTGAGATAACCCATCTGAAATTCAGAAATATGTATAGAGATTTAACTGTAAAGATACCTGAATTGGTTAGTGACCAAGAGACACTGTCAAATTGTTTAGTGGGAAAGGAAGAAGCTAGTAAAGCCAGGAGCTGTTTTTCGAGTATTGTACCATAGTAGAGGTAATTCTTCTTAAAATAGGGTACCAATGCTATCGATGTCCTTGCATATATCCCCGATGCCTGACAGACCGAAACCTGAAACAAATCCGCGAGGCTGAAAAATCTTGGGTCGGTGACCGACGGAGTGACCCCGGTCGACCGAAGAGACTGCAGAAAACGAGCTTAGGAACACGTTCTGGCCGGTCGACCGAAGTTGTGTTGTCGGTCGACCGAGGGTGACAAATTAGTCGACCGAAGGTGATGAACCGATCGACCGAAAATGTGCACGAAAACCCTGTATGAAACTGCTTTCTGGCCGGTCAACCGACTCACATGGTTCGGTCGACCGAAATCTGTTTTTCCAGTTTCCTAATTGATTTGAGTATTTGCTATTTGGGTTGGGTGTTAACATATTATAATATATTATATATTTATACTATATTATAATATATAGTATTAATCAATTTTATCCATCATGGACGTTTTTAGGTTAAGAGAACATAGAAAAGAGGGTTTTGAGAGGATTCTTTCAGGGAGATCTCAGAGAGATAAAAACCTATTTGTGGGTATTGTAATCTTCTTTAATTAATCAAGTTTTTGTGGTGTGGCTGCCGAGGATGTAAGCACGTTTGTCGAACATCGTTAAATATGGTGTTCTCTGGTTTGATTATTCTTTCATGCAAGTTTTTTCTTTTATTTGCGGTGATTTTCCTACTTGTTAAACTCTTAGCACGAGATCCGGAAGGGCACGGCTTCGATTGTGTGATTCGAATCCCCAACAGGAGTATTACTCCCTAGCCATTTGTCTTCCCAAAAACGAATGTTGTTACGTGAACCAAGCTTCCAAGAAATGAGATTTAGAAGAGCTTCCCTCTATTTGTTTGCAACATATGACATTATGGAGCACCACAACTCTTCTTCCTGGTGTTTCTTTGGTATTCTAACTATTCTTTATAAAGCACCATACTTGTCATTTCAACTTGAAGTAGTCATTACCCAGATCCTCAAATACTTTTCAATCTGAAGTGTTTAATTTGATATGTGCCTCAGAATATTTTTTTTTTATATAGAAGAATATTCCGATTCTTTAGCAGCACTATATTTTTATTAGAAAATAAAAATAAATTTTCTTTTTCCCCTCTCTTTTAAAAAAGAGGAAATTAGATCTCTGTATTTGGGAGCTCGAAGATATACATAGTTTTAAGCGTCACCCATATTTCTTTTTTTTTATATGATTATACTACGTGTATCTTGTTTTCTGTTGGGTTTTTGCAATCGCCTTTTGTTTCCCCGCATCCATTCAAGGAACAATCCTCCTTGCCCCTTTTATAATGGCCTTTTATGCCATCTCCCTTTATAAAGTAAGGAAAATACCATTTGGCTCGCGCGAGTTGCAACTCGCGTGAGACAAAACAGGGGGGTGGGACCCACAGCTGTGGGTCCCACCCCCCTGTTTTGTCTCACGCGAGTTGCAACTCGCGCGAGCCAAATAGCAGGGCTCATAAAGTAATTTACAGGTCTATTGGGGCAACTGCGCGTAGCTCCAAAAAAAAACATGTTCATTAATCTACCCCGTTGTAGTTGTTGATAAGTAGGTAAGGGGGTGTTTGTTTCACCAAAAAAATTTGCATTTGGTATGGATTACAAATTTTGGGATCAAAAAGTGAGTTTTTTTGTATTTTGGGATTCCATATATAGTGTTTGTTTTAAAAAGTTAGAATATTGAATCCCAAAAGTATAAAAAGTGCATAATTTTTAGAATTTACAAAATCCTCTCAATTGGAGAGGATTTTGACAAATTTCATAAATGAGTGTGCTTACCTCTCAATTGGAGAGGATTTGACAAATCTCAATTTTGTCTTTTTGTGGGAGGTAATCGTCATATTATAAAATTTTAGTATTTGTTAAAGCTACACTTTGAGCTTGAAACAAATAAAGTATTACAAATTGTAGTATTCCAAATCTTAAAATATTAATGAAACAAATAACATTTTAAAAATCCCAACCCATAACAAAATACCTATGGATTTCAAATCCCATGGTGAAATCCATATCCTAAAATTATAGGATTTGAAACAAACACCCTCCTACTTAAAAGTTCAAATAAAAATATAATATTTTAATAAAAATGCTCAGAAGCGCAATAAATCCGCCACGTGGCCTTTGCAGGCTGTAAATGGGCGGACAACGCTCAACTGGACCGCGCTGGAAACTACAGTGCTCGACTAGACCCCATCCGAGATTCCGATCCGGCCACGTCCGCTTATTCCCAACCGTCCATTTCAGGTAGGAAATCTACACCGTCCATTTATGAGGACACACTTGTCATTTCAAGTAAAAGAGAGACTTTAATCTCGTCTTCGCCTCGATAAAAAATTTGTCGGCTTTCACTCTCGTGCCCGAATCAGTCGAGAGTCCTTCGATGGCTCCGTCAATCTCGCTGTTTAAACAGTGGCTTCTATATCTACTTGTTTCTAGGTTTTTCTTATTATTATTTAAAGTCATTATAAAGGGGTCGAGCTTCGATTTCTAGGGTTTTCCAGGGGACTCTGCACGATTGGCGATCTCACTGTTCATTTGGTGGTCGGAAATTGGTGGCAAAATTTGATTGCCGGTTGAGGTTGGAGTTTTCTTGGAAGTAGAGAAAGCTTGAGTTCTTGATGCGATTACAGCGGATGAGATGAGGAGCGGAGATTTCGAAGCTCGAGGTAGGACAGGAGAGGACAAGGGTTGGGAATCGAGGTCGAACTCTTTGGATTCTAGGATTTTGAGAACGGAAGATTCGGAGTTTTGGGAATCGCCGCATCCAGGTTTGTAGAGTTTCTTACTCTTGGTTAATTAGGGTTTGGTTTTATTGTTGAATTTGTTAAGGGCCTGTTAATTGTTTGTTAAGGGTGTGTTTGGATTTCAATGGGTTTAAATTGCTAAGGGCATGTTAATTGTTTGATTTTATTGTCTGAATTCAACGTATGTCCTCATTTCTAATGGGGGTTGGCGCTATTTTTAAGGTTCATGAATTTGAATTTAAAGAAAAAGATTTTTTTTTCTCTCTCTTCTCCTGTTGTCATAGAATAGTGTCTGATTTTATTTGTAAACTAAAGATACCCTTTTCGCGTGTACAGGCCGGTTCATTTGAATCTTTTGCAATTCTTTTTATTTCTGTTTTTGCTACAATCTCATCAACATTTAGTTATGCTACAGTAGTAGTTACTGTGTCAATATCTTTGGATTCCCCTTTTAAGTACAGTAGTAATTACTGTGTCAATTTCTTTGGATTCCCTTTTAAGTATAGAGGAGTAGATTCTGAGTGGGGGTCAGCATTATGGCTGTCAGTTAAAAAATAAATAAATATTTCTCAAGATAATAGACTTGTCTCCTGGAGCCAAAAATTAGCATATGATTAACTTAGAGCTAAACAATCGAAGGTCTTTTACTTGGGTGTTAGTGTGATGAATTAAAGTCCTGATGCTATATTGATTACTTACTTTACTCAATGCACAAATTGCTAGAATTTTGAATATTTTAGCTTACTAGCTGGCATTTTGTAGGTACCAATTAACCATGTATTTTGCAGATATAAGAGTATTGTATTAAATGATACATGAATATCTGATAAGTCCCAATAATAATAAGAAATGAGTTAATATCTGAATATCTTATAAGTCTTGATAAACCGATATATGTATTACGTGTAATACATAGACCTAAATTCATGGTTAAGATGGTCATAGACCTAAATTCATGGTTAAGATGGTTTTCTTTGGACATTAACTTGACAGGCCTGGAGCATTGTAACTCCTTACCGGCGCGATCAAATAGCAGTAGTATTCTATACAAAGTCCGTGACCTTATCTTATCTAAATCAAACAGCGAATCTCTCAAGTATGATTTCCAGCTGGATGGGCTATCTGAGAGTGAACAGGTACGCACAAAAATTCGACAATTACGCATCCACTTCATGGAAGAAAATTCCTTTTATTATGTTGCTGGCCTGCACGGAAAATTTGACCTCTTCCATCACTAGCGAGTATAGAAACATAAAGTCCCTCTTACTACGGTGATGCATGTTTCCATATGCACTACTTATTGGTACCTCTCTGACCTGCATGAACTCTGCCAGTACTGTCATGACCATGTAACTTCCTAATTTCTTAATTCGAACAATAAAAAAGCCATTGGTTTCAGATCATATTTTCAAGGTCGTATTTTTCTTTTTATTTGATAACTCACTGCATGTTTCAGAATAAAGTCATTGAGGATCTCGTCAAAATCGAGAATGATGATACCATGGAGGTTGATGTGGTGGATGATGCACCCGCAGCCCGAGATCTGTCAGAGCTTGATGCTGTTGATGCTAAACCGTGCGATAGTGGAGAAACCATCTTTGAATTCAGCAAGACAGGTCCAACACTGAAGATTGCTATACTTGTCGTTGGGACAAGGGGAGACGTACAACCTTTCATAGCTGTTGCAAAGAGACTTCAGGTATGTAAAGATGCAAAATTTTATATTCCCTTTCATCACTATAGTAAAAGGTTTGATATTTTTACACCAAAAAGAAAGTAACTGCTTGTTATACTGTATTTCTCATGAGATGTGCTGTTGCACTGACTACTTTAATAGTTACACTGGGATACTTTTGATACATGTGCTAGCATCTTCATGAATTCAGTCTACTATTTGACTTTTTTCAACGACTCTGAAAGAAGACAGTCACCTTTGCTAGAAACTTAGCAAGCTAAAGAATCTTATTCTGGTATTAGAATGATTGTTTCCTGTAAGTTCTACTATATTACCATAGATTATTCAGTATTCGGCTGAAAATTGTAATGTCCTTCGTTAAGGATCAAGAGCCTGATTAAATGGCCCTGAAATATTGTCGGTGTAAATGGGACGGCACCAAAATGTTTGATCTTTTTGGAGCTTTTACCCTCTCAACATGTTTGTTCTTCCTTCCTGATGATATTTATTCCGTGACAGCTACCAATAGTTAAATGAAGCTGGTTATCTAGTTTCATATTGTATTGCTTTGTTTGTTCAAAGTACAAGGGTTGCCAGGAGTGTACATTTCACCAGGAACACAGTTTGTTATAAAAAATTTCTGTTGCTTCATCTGTAACTTGTTTTCTTAGTTCTGGTGATTGCATAATTGGTGCTATCATGTCTAAGACAGCTGGTCGTACTCAATTTGATTGTATTTTAGCATCTGAAATGATAGGAATATTGGCTTAAGTCGAAAATGCTTGTTCTTTCACATCTATAAGATTTCATTAAAACTTTCAATTGTATACACGAGAAAGTAAGAATATTTCATCTACCTGGCTATAACCTTTTGATAATGATAACAAATGAAGTTTTAATTAGCCATAACGTGCATTTTGACTTAGCATTTGATGACATATGGTCCATAACATACTATTTTAGGTAACTGAATTATTTGTCCTCTCAGAATTTAGCCTGTATATGCACTTACTTTTTTGCTCTCCATTACAATGCTTGCAGGAGTTCGGTCATCGTGTCAGATTGGCAACTCATGTCAATTTTCGTAATTTCGTGCAGTCACATGGCATTGAGTTTTATCCTTTGGGTGGTGATCCGCAAATCATGGCTGGATGTAAGTGGATTAATTGTTATATTAATTTTTTGTATTGGACCTCCCTTTTATATATATGTATGATCACCTTTTTGTTTTATAATTTAACTCAATCTGTATCATATATATTTCTTTTGGCCTTTGGGAGTTGGGACCTTTCCTCAGTAAACATTTCTCTTTGCTCCAAGTTCCATATGAATTTGAGATACAATGGCCACCTTGTGCCTAACTACTCCTTATGAAACTGTAAGTGTTGTGAAATACTCCAAGGTAGAAATCTTAAGCATACAAAAGGAGAGCATTTAGGAAACTGATCGAACAAATTCTAATTTTTGAATTTTGACTGTGCTTGTTCGCTATAAACGCCAATGTTTGATCTTTTTTTCTTCCATTTTCTCATTCTTTGGTCCGTTTTCAGTACTGATGAATGAAAACTTTAATTGAAAACTATCCTCTTAAAACTTATTGTACTGTTTTACTTAGTTGGAGACCTAATTTTTTAATAGATATGGCTCGGAACAAGGGCTTTCTGCTATCAGGACCTGCAGAAATATCCATGCAACTGAAGCAACTGAAGGAGATTATATTTTCCCTTCTTCCAGCATGTACAGCACCTGATCTGGAAACTGGAGCACCTTTTAAGGCTCAGGCTATTATTGCAAATCCTCCTGCATACGGTGAGATTATTGTTCAAAAAGCTACATATTATCCAACTCCTCATCATATCCTTGTCTTTGTTGTGCTTCTTTTTCTAAAGTTGAGGAAGCTTTTTGATTTATGTTTGTCTTGTTATTTGAATAAGATTGCTAATTAAGAAACGAACTTCGGATTTTCATTATATGCACTTGCTTCTGTATTGCTATTTTCATCCTCAGGACTGTTTCATCGCGAAGTCTAGCAGATTTCATATTTCATAAGTGCTAGCTTCTGGTGTTCTTGGACTCAGAATATAAGTTAAAATTTGCAGGAGTTACTTGTGGGATCCGGTGGTGCAACTTATATTCTTAGATGGCTGGCGTCTTTCAGTGTTGTTCTTAAATATACAGGATGTATGGTAATAAGTTTAGTTAGGGAGACTTAACTCAAAGAGATACTCAGAGGAAAATTGAGATCAAATCAAGTTATCAAATGTTCAAATTTAGTGGTTTCATGGTCATTTGAGATATACTCAAGATGTGAAAGGCCTGAAATCTGTTCAAAATTGGATGGTCACTGGAAAATCATTTATCAATTTTCAAAGTGTTTGGTCATATCAACTGAGCTACGCAGGCAACATGGTGAAGGCTTTACTCTTGTCCGCATTATGTTGTTTAAAAGGCTTGAAGAATAACCTGACTTTTTTAGGAGTCTGGCTAAGAAAATCATAGAATATTTTTGGTTTACTTGTGGCGTTTTTATTTTTTACAATCAGAAGAGTTTGAACATTATGATTTTCTTTTTCAAGTTAATTGTCATCATCCTTTGAAGTGCATTATTCTCATGTTATGAAATTTAATGAATATGAGATATTTCAATTTTTGTTATATGAAGTTTGAGAGGTTGATTAGACTGGCTGATGAACAGAAAACTTGAAGTTACCGAGCTTGAATCATAACAAATATCACAAAATGTATCCCCTAACATGAAGTGTCTGGCTCTGTTAATAGACACTGCTTTATCTAATCTCGACAAAACATTTTTTTTTAATTTCTCTGATGCATCTACTGTGATGCTCTCAGGACACACGCATGTTGCTGAAGCTCTTGGTGTGCCACTTCACTTCTTGTTCACAATGCCTTGGACGTAAGTCTATATTGAAGTACCCCACACTATTTATCTCTGTTTTATTACTACTGTTATTGAACAGATTATTCTTTAGCTTGTAGTTACTGTTGTTATCTAGTGGAAAGTACCTTCTAATGAAAACATTTTATGATGTTTTGTCTCGGATAAAAGCAAATAGATTTCCATCATGTAGGATTTATGAATAACTCACCTGTTGCTTGATCAAAATGAAGCAAGTAAATTTTCTAGAATTAATCTTCTTAAAGTCCCTCTAACTATTACACTAAAACCCCAAAGTTGTCGTGAGAATTGAGGGTTATAGTTTTATATTAATTCCAACATGCCTCCCGGTTGATCGCCCTTTTAATAGAGGCCAAAACCTAGACTAACACAGCGGTGTTAATTTTTAGAAAATCCGCTTTAAATTTGTGGCATGTGAAATTTGAACCTAAGTTGCTCTAATACCATCTTAAAGTCCCTCTGACCTTTACACAACAACTCCGAAGTTGTGATGAGAGTTGAGGATTACATTTTCATATTCTAACAATATTGGAATTAATATAAAACTATAACTCTTAACTCTCATCACAACTACGGAGTTTTGGTATAATGGAGTTTTGGTATAATGGTGAGAGGGACTTTAAGATGGTATCAGAGCAGTCCAGGTTTAAATCCCGTTGACCACGAATTTAAAGTGGACTTTCTAAAAATTAATAATGTTGCGTGAGTCTAGGTTTCGGCCAATAGAAAGGGCGGTCAACCTACGGGAGCATGTTACAATATAAAAATATAACCCTCAATTCCCACCACAACTTGGTGTAATGGTAAGTGGAACTTCAAGAAATCTTAAAACAAACTCTAATTTCTGCCTTAGCATGGACAGCTTAACCCCATTTACCGTTGTACTGCATTTACATAGTGTTTTATTTTATAGAAATTTAACGGAAATATGTGTCATCACTACGTTTTTCTGGCCTTGATCTGTTTTGAGCTTGGTCGATTTTTTTTCCAGCAGTTACCCAGTATAGTAGACGATGGTAGATCCAGTCCTATACCAAATGGTTTTGCCTATCTGTCGAAGTGATATCTCGTTTTGTGTAATCTCCAGTGCTAGGCTACAAGATCTTAGCTTGTGCCAGATTGAGCATCCCTTGTCATGCTCACAGCCTTTCTGGTCTTTCTTTTAAGTATATTTAACTGTTCTGGAAATAACATTAATTGGAAATGCAAGCAATTCAGTGGAGCTCATAATCCCTGAAATGTGATTATTTGGAGATAATGATTCACCTTCCTAATTCCGATACATGTAGGCAGGCCAACAAATGAATTTCCACATCCTATGTCATGTGTGCCAAATAGTGCAGCAAACAAGGTATATATTTTCAGACTCTTATCATTTATTCTGTCTAATTTTCTTGGGTTATTATTAAATGGAGGTTTTGTGTGTTATACACTATTCAGCTATCCTACATTCTTGTGGACTTAGTGGTGTGGTTGGGCATCAGGGGATTTATTAATGACTTCAGGAAGAAGTTGAATTTGCCTTCTATTGCATACTTCAGTACATATTATGGATCCATATCACATCTGCCAACAGGATATATGTGGAGTCCCTATCTTGCTCCCAAACCAAAAGGTAATTATGGGAGTGCATAATTTACACCTTCGACATTCTTTCTTTTTGACGGATTGAATGTTGTATTCACTTTCTTCAGCACTTTGTTTCTATTGAAATGGATTTGTGTGACATATTGTTGCAGACCGTTTGTAGTTTCATGTTATTTTCTAATTGAAATTGACATGTTTTAATATTGATATTAAATGGGATACATTTCCATTTTTTTAGATCTTTTTCCTGAGGTTTTCAAATTGGAGGAAGACTTTTATAAGTTTTCCGCAATGAATTTCAATTTGTTAAAAATCTTTGCAATATATGCCAGAAATAACTTACTCATTTTAGTTCTGACATATTGACATAGTGATATACTAATGCAGACGCATGGACAGAAAGGAGTCACTTCTAATAAAATTTGTGTTTAACAAATGAAATAGATGTGTTTGAATTGTGTTCTGTGGTGGATAGATCACAACTTGCAAGTGACAGGTAGTGTGGAAATGTAAACAAAACAACAAGGCAAATAGAAGGGAGGATAATTTTTTTCTTCTTCTTCTTTTTTTTTTTTGCTGTATAGAAAATGTATAAACATGACAATTAAGCAATGTTCAACATGTCCTGATATAGAAGATGTCAGGAGGGAACTATCTCCTGAATTAAGGACAATCCATATTTCTGATTTCAATTTTTACTCTACTAAATAAGAAACAGCTTAAGATGGACGGGGAGAGAATGTAGGACGTGGTTATAACTTATACATAGGCTAATTCCTGACCAGTCATTTCCTGAAAACTATTGTTTTTTTCTAAATTCCTGTGCGCTCAGCTTGTTATGGAAGCTGATCCTTCCAGCCTCCTGTATTTTCAATTAAATGTATTGGGATGTTTTATGTAGCGAAAGACTTTTAACTTATTACCTTCAAAATATATAAATGAAGATGTTTTCTTCCCTACGAACCGAGATCACTTATCAACAATAGTGTCGAGTTAAATAAATGCTATGGTAAAACTGTTGCTTGTTTTTTTAGTTGTATGATAGTATTCAATCTTAAAACCCACAGTTTGAGAGAAACAAATTGGAGAAGGAAGTTATTTCAGTTATTCAGTAGCATATTGGCATGGAAAATTAGTATATTCAACATAAAAATGCTCAATGATTAAATTGCAGATCCTTATAATATCTCTGAAGTTGAACAAATTGACATAGAGGATAGTTGTCTGGCTCCACATTATATCAGATTTTATGGAGAGTATATATGTTTGAGGAGTATCATTTAACTTTCGCCCGTTCTATAGTTTTTATGACTTTGTTTTTGGATTAATCATCTAAATAGTTCATACTATGTGATTTGCAAAATTGGGTTATTCAATTCTGATTATTGTTAAGCTGCATATGCACCTGTCTTCCTTTTTGTTTGCTTAGCTGCTAGAGCTTGCTCTTGTATGAATCCTTTTCGCTATTTGTGTATCGGTCAACATAAAAAATAATAAGAAACACCAGCTTTCATGCATTGCTATTGACTAGTAATATAAATGTGCAGATTGGGGTTTCTTAGTAGATATCACTGGTTTTTGTTTCCTCAACCTTGGCACAAAGTACCAACCACAAAGGGCTTTTGCAGAATGGATTCAACAAGGACCAAAGCCTATATATATAGGGTTTGGTAGCATGGTATCTTTCTTGCTATACGTTGTGAAGATATATAAGCAAATAATTTTTCTTCCTGGTTCCTCAACTGTGAATGTTGTTTAGAATGTACTCTTTGACTTTAACTGAAGTGCTACAGATTTCTTTTCTTATTAAGCCAAGACCTCTTTTTTTATATTCAGCCTCTCGAAGATGGCAAAAGGACGATGAACATCATCCTGGAGGCATTAAAAGAAACAGGCCAAAGAGCAATAATTGGCCGTGGTTGGGGAGATCTTGGAATCAGTAAGTATTTACCCTGCTTGGTATACTTTTGTGTTGTATACCCTTCAATTTTAACATAGAATATTTGTCATTTGTCATAGTGCACAGCACAATTTCTATCACATACAGTAACTGTGCTTGATCTCGTCATGTAACCAGATGAAATCCCATTTTGTCACAAGTAAATAATCCAGTTGTAATTTTTCTCTTCAGCTGTGCACTGCTTAACTTATTGAATTTTCCTTGGCTTGATTTCTAGTTAACTTATTGAATTTTCCTTAGCTTGATTTCTCTAGCTGTAACCAGAAGAAATCCCGAATGAAGTCTGTACCTTCATTTGGGCTTATTTGTAGTTAATTTCTTAATTGGCATGCTTATATATACATGCATTTTGTTGCTTTTTTCATTACATAGTACTTATATGTTATCTATTACAGTAAGCACAAAAAGGGAAAAAGTGCATATGCATTTTCCCGTCATTTTTCTGTTGATAATGTATTTAAATTTGATCAACGAGTTAGGTGGAGTGACTGGGAGTCTGCCAGAATTCAGATGCTGGATAGAGGGCTCTCCGTTCTTTGTCATGCATGTTTGTGTTCTATTGCGGAATACAATTTGCAGGATTTTTAGGATACAAGCTTTTATATTTTCAGTAATGCTAATAACTTCTTCCATTGTGGTTATTATCGAATTGAGCCTTTTAATTTTTTCAGTAGTGTTTAGTGAAGATACTTTTGTATTTAGGAGAATGTTAGGAAGTTATGCTAAGAAGTGTTTTCTTATCTCTTACCATCAGTAATGATAAATCCTCCAAATTTAATTTCCTTTTAATAAGCATATGTTCTGTATTTGCAGGTTCCGATATACCTGCTGATGTCTATCTTATTGAAGATTGCCCTCATGACTGGCTATTTCCTCAGTGTGCTGCAGTGGTGAGTTCCAAAAAAATTTGCAGCAAACTATGTAGAAGATGACTCTTGAAAATCTTGTGTGTGTTTTTTTATTGTGTATGGATAAGCAAGTACCTGATCTGATAGCAAGTCCATGACTTAAAAATTAGGATGAATATTTGAATTAGACCTTTTCCCAAAAATATTTATCAAAATAGACCTATTTCCAAAATATTTATCAAAATAGACCTAGTTTCTGCGACTGGCTGAAACTAGGTCAATTTTGATAAATATTTGGGGAACTAGATCGATTTGAATAAAAAAAATTGTAAACTCTACGGGAATCCCATAGAGTTTAGTGCACAAGCTAACTCTACGGGATTGCCAATCCCATGGAGTTCAGAAACTTTTTTTTTTCAAAATCGACCTCGTTTTGCTGATGTGATTGAAATTAGGTAGATTTTGATAAATATTTTGCAAGTAGGTCGAAATTGATAAACCTTTTTTGAAAAGATCTATTTCCGAAATTTGTCCTAAAAATTATTCTTGTCATTGTGCAGCTTGCCTGTCTCATAAATTATGTCATAGTCTCATAAGTAGTCTATTTATTATTTATGTTGCTTAACAGAAAGATTTTGTGACATTTGGACATGTACTGTGACAATTATTCCCCTTCAGATTAATGCTCTAAATTTCTCTACCAGCATGCTGAGAGTCTGATTGTATATGCCTTTTACGTTGTCATGACCAGATAACGCTAAATAAGCTGCTATGAGGTTTTAACTTTTGCTACAGATACAACTGGCATGTTTCTTTTCTTCATTTTGAACAGCCAATCTGACAGAATGCGATGTGATGCCTAGCCCTGAAAAGACCAGGAACATCTCTCAGCACTATGCTCCCACATTAAAAATATTAAATCAACTAGCAAACAGAATAATGGTTTACAAAGTAAATCAACACTCCTTGTTTCTTAAGGAACCAAAAAGGTTATAATGTTCATTTGTTGGTTTTGCTTGGTCTTCCTTGGAAATATCATCAGATCATGGACACAGTAGTGTGTTATGATCTATATTTTCTGTTACATAAAATTGAAAACATGATAGTTTCAAAAAATATTGACCTCTGGCTCTCCTGCAACGACCTTTTGATGGTTCTCTTTCTTTTCCTCTTTTCTTGATTTGTCCGCTTGGACAAATTCAATCTAGAAGTATTATTTCGGAATATATATTGGTGAAATTATAATGCTGTTTACTAACTAGCAGTTACCTGTTTTGTTCTGTGAGAGCTGTTTTTACACATTTTATATATTAATATCCTGACTGTTCAAACATACTCAGGTTCACCATGGAGGTGCTGGCACAACAGCTACTGGATTAAGATCTGGGGTAATGCTCGTTTGAAAGGTTTTCTCTATTAAATTCATTTGCCATTCCGCTATATGATGTGATGCCCAGATGATTTTTAAAAGAAGAAAACTAGAGTAGTTATCATTAATTGAATTGATGGAGAGGACACAATGATAGTGGAGAGGCGGATGATAAATTGGGGACTCACCCAAGAGTTAGATTAACTCCCCAACTAGATTCGCTCAACCCTTGATAAGAGAAGGTTCTCTATAGATTAATACTAAGCTAGTATGAAAGTAGTAACTCTTAGTTTTTTCTCATAACCACGACACATGCTTAGCTGACCATTTGAAAGCCTTAATGGCATCTGATTGCCTTTCCATTGAGGCCCGCCTAGAACGAAACATTTGAGTGCTCTAATTAAAGAATGCTTCAATATAATACCTATTAACATTTATTTGTCCAATGGCTCTTCAACACCGTCGTCCATGACTGGGCAATAGTACCATGTACCTGTCATTACAATGACTTTCCCATTCATTTGTGGAGGCTTCTAGAAGCTAAATTAAGTTTGCAATCTTAATCCTTAAATGCCTCGGTTCACGAAAATTAATTCTAAAACTTGTTCGTCTATAATCATCCAAAAGTTCCTTCTCTTTTGTTGGTGTTCAATTTTTCTGCCACTTGGGTTTTCTTTTCTTTTGTCTAGAAGAACTATCTTGAGTCACAAAATGGAAGTTCAGAAGTTCATTATGGATCCTACTTGTTTGCATCACCCTCTTAAGTTGACTCTTAGCGTGCCTGTTTCTGCAACTAAAACTATGTGGCATAGTGGCTTGAACTTTAGTTTTCCATATTTTGTTCCTTGTGCAGGGCGACCTTAGCTATATTCTACTCCTATTTTGCTGCCTTTATTCTAGAAAACTTTTTTATATTCACAAACCTATGTATAGCAGTTGTCTTTGGGATTGAAATGTTCTGTATATGAAGGTTTTTCGTATATTTTATTTGGTTATCATCATTGTTTTAAGCTTTCATCAATCAAATCCAATGGCTTCATGTTTTTCTTTCTTAGTGGCTTAACATTTCTAGGACAAGAATCATATTCTTGTATCCCTTCCCTGAAAATTCATTTTCATTTTTTACCATTTCTGACTTATTTGCTTTCAAATGACATATATAGATGGTTTGTCATATAAGAAACTGTTGTCTACAGTCCTGTATCTCATAGTTAGACAGGATTATGCTACTTATGCTTCACAGGGTGTCATCTAATCTAAAGCCATGAGTACTTTGATGATTCATGATGCTAAAATGATGATAGTGAAGCAGTAATTGTAGTTTGGCTTATCTTGAACTCACATTGAGTGGCTATGTACCCATGGACTAAAAGGATAGTGCATGTGATGGAAGAGAGCTTTCAGATCCCTAGGTCAAATTTGTATGTTTGGCTTAGCAGTTGTTTCTACAGTTAGATGTCAACTTATTGCTCATCAAGTTTGGTTTATGGTGATTGAATTTTACATGAAAACCACTCAAACTTTACAAAAATTTGCAGTGCCCTACAACTATTATCCCTTTCTTCGGGGACCAGTTTTTCTGGGGTGATAGAATTCATGAAAGAGGAGTCGGGCCTGCACCAATTCCCATATATGAGCTAAATGTTGAACGACTATCAAACGCTCTAAGGTTCATGCTTGATCCAGAGGTAATCATGCTGATAATATCTTTTATGTTTGGGTTAATTGTGGGTTAACTTCTTGTACTATCCCTCAATTGCGGATAGCACCCTGGTGAAACTTTTTTGACTCTTTTACCCTCATTTGGTCTATTTGCCAAAAAAAACTATTCTCTTTCTCGGAGGGTAAAAGAGACCCCAAAAAAATTACGCATGGAGTCTTATCTGCAACAAGAGAGTTACAAGGGGGCTATCTGCAACTGGGCAATAGTAAAGGGGGTCTATCCTCAGTTAACCCTTTATGTGTACATATGTAGAGCAAGTAATCAATATTTTTCCATTCTTTCTTTGTGTATTGAAGGTTAAATTAAGAACCATGGAACTCGCGAAACAAATTGAGAACGAAAATGGTGTTGTAGCTGCTGTGGATGCATTCCATAAGCACTTGCCTGCAGAATTACCCATCCCTCTTGTCCCTTCTGATGAACCTCCACAACAAGTCCAATGGATATTTCAGGTCATCGAGAGGTGGTGTTGTCTTCCTTTCACCTTGTAGCCATCTCATCTCATTGGTTGGTGTACATATAATTTGTTTGTTTTCTTCATTTTCTTTATTTATCATTCTTTATGTTGTTATGCGGGTGGTTATGTGGATGCTAGGAAAAGTAAAATTTTGTCTCGTGTATCATATGTTGTGGTTTGCGGTGTTAGACGGATGTTTTTTTTTTTTTTTCCAGGTTGGTCATGTAGAAAACATACTTGTTTGGTTTAATAGATATGCAAGGGTTGTGAGAAGGTGTTCCATCTCGGTTGTGTTTTGATGATGCTCAACAATGTTGATAATTGTATTGATTTAGATGGATGGTATTCTTTATGACTATTTTGTTTACAATGTGCTGAGATTGTTTTTGGGCAAGTAGCTCATATTATCATAGTGAATGTTGGAATTTCTATTTGCTTGATGGTGCTAACTTTTCATCTGAACTGCAAACACACAATTTAGGGATGTTTTTTTTAAAGCACTTGCTTGGGAAAATTTAACGACAGAAAGAAAAAGAAGGGGAGAAGATGTGGAAGGGGAGGGAAATCGTTTGTTGGCTGTTGGATTCATATCGCTATCGTTTCAAAAAAAATTTACCCTCGTTGCACCCTAATTTCTACATCATTTTTAGAGATCATATATATATTCATCGTTTTCAATGTCCGTCAAAAATTTATCAACCTACGCTAAATGGCATTGAAATGCCTTGTTGTTTCACCATATTTACATTTAAACATCCTAGGTGGTAAAAGGTAGCACTTTGATACCCTAAGTACTCTTAGTTGACTTGACGAAATGGTTGTGACCCGTGATATATAATACAAACCACATGCTTATTTTATGATAAAATATAACAAAAGGATTTGTCGCCTAAATTAGCATAGTTTATGGTAAGACTTTCTGTAATTTATGCTTTTACTCTCGAAGAAGAAAGAAGAGAGATTAAATCCATGCAACTGCACGAAGATAAGGGGAGTGCTTTATACCGACATAAGAAACTTACACCAGCCACTACCAAAAACTAAACACAGGTGGAGATTCAACACCAATTCTCCCAAACAACAAGCGAAGGAGCAACAAAAACACCAAAACAACCAAACAAACTAGTACTGCTACTACTATCCCCCCATCTCCCTACTACATGACCTCACCGATACCCGTTAACCCACGACCTCCCCCATATCATACCCGAAACCCGCTACCGATCCAGCAGGCGACATAGCAGAAGGCGGCGGCGCAGGCGCAGTCTCAGCGTCGCAATAACCCCTAAGTATATCGGCCTCTTGGGAAGTAAATCCAATCGAATCGAGCATCGAAGGCCAACAATCCCTCGTAATTATCCTTATAGCCTTGCAACATCCTATCGTCAAGTAAGACTCTCCGTTGAGAAAGAAGAGCACAATCTCATTAGTGCATGATCGGAGCTCCGTCAGCGCGCTCCAACAATCCGCTAACCCGGTTTTGGAGTCGGTCATGCCCGTTAGCCCGTTAAAGAGGTGGGACCCGGCGGGCGCGAGGGCGCGGGCAGCGGAGAGGGAGAAGAGGGTGGTGGAGATTGTGAGGATGAGGAGGGATTTGAGGAGGAGTGACATTTTTCGTGTTTGATTTGATTTTGTGAAGGAAGTTGGTGTAGAATTAGAGAGGAGAGCTACCGGGGGTTTATGTAGGTTTTTTTGGCGGGAAGGGGAACGGTCTTCGGAAACGTTTCTAGGTTGTGAACTTGTAACTCATGGAGAAAGTGAAGAGATTGGATTTGACTCTTAAGTACTTTCATTAGAGTAAGATGAAGTTAAAGAGGTTATCATTATTGATAACGGCAGCAGTAGAAAAGTAAAGAAGTGCGTCCGTTGGTAAGGAAGTTGTATGATTATGTGTCTGTGTTAATTAATTTGAAGAATATTTGCTCAAAAATAATAATTTTGAGAAAAGATTGTTAGATTAAACTTGTAGTTATGAGATTCATTCGTGTTATGAACTTGTCGGGGCTGATATTCGAAGGTCGTTAGACTTTTGGAGCAGGTTTCAAATGTAGCATTTGAACGTGCATCATGGACAAGGAAAAAAGAAATTTAGGAGAATAAATAAAACAAGTAAAAAAGAAGAAGAATTCTACGCTCAAGACGTGCTCCGTATGAAGCCCAAAAAGGGCCCACAAAGTAGCCCGCTTCTTTCTCCAAACTTTCAAAGAAAATACAAGCGAGACATGTCACCGTGGTTAGGTTATGGAAATATGGCCTTAGTTTTTGGATTGGAATTTTTTTAAAAAAATAGACCGATTTTGCTAAATATTTATAAAAATAGACCGATTTTGCTAAATATTTAGCAAAATTGATCATTTTTATAAATATTTAGCAAAATCGATCTCTTTTTTACTAACAGATCGATTTTAAAAAACACCTTTCAGAAAACATACGGGACTAATAGTCCCGTATGTTTTCACTGTACTAATCACGGAGTAGTGCTCTCAGAAAACATATGTTTTCTGAGAGATTAGTGCCCTTGAAAACATACGGGACTAGTAATCTCGTATGTTTTTAACTGGGCGTTTTTTTTTAAAATCGACCTCTTTTGGCATGTTGGCAAAAAAGAGGTCGATTTTGCTAAATATTTAGCAAAATTGGTCTATTTCGAAAAAAATCCTTTTAGAATTATCTAGTTAGATATATAAAGTTATATCATTATCAAAAGTAAATTTATTTGTCCGGCACATTAGTTCATTTAAATCAAACTATCTCTTTAAAAAATAAAATTCATATCAAGACCACCCCCCACCCCCGGGAATAAATTTATTTTTGTTTTTTAATTTAGAAAAAAAAATTATTTTTTTTATTTCCCCCCCACCCTTTTGGAGCAGATAGCAAGCAATCTAGTCACCACTTTCTCCCTCGTTACATTTTCGACCCAAAACGTGTCACATCTGATATCTATATTTGGTAACTTTACCCATTTGAACCAATGATCATCGTAAAGACAACAACGATTGCTTCCACTCAAACAATTTCCATCATGACTTCTTAATATTAGCAACTTCATTCGAGTAGCCTACCTACCACGTTAATTGCATGTTTTGGAGCGCTAATATAAACTTGCAAAAAAAGATGCAAACCTTCAAGCTTTGAACCAAGTATATAATATTGCAATAATTTTCAAAAAGCAAAACTCATTTCGCTATCTGTCATTGAGATCCAAATTCCGTAATTGTGTTGGATTTTTAGTGTGTAAGGGTAAATATCAAAGTCGAATTTGTTTTTTATGAAGAAAAAAAATTATCATAATTTTTTCGCATGAACGGAGCGTTTTGAACCATTAAAAGGTGCATTTCAACGGTTCGTAAATGACCCGGATATTTTTTATGGTATGCACTGTCTTTTAGTAAAATTTGTACCCTTTTTAGGGGTTGTTTGGTTGTATGTTTTTACCATGTAAAAGGATGGAAAGTGTAAAAAAGTGGATCACAATATCAGCTTTCATCACTTTACATTGTTTGTTTAAATTCTCTTTTACATGAAAAACTTACACATTTTGATGAGGTGTCACCGAAAACAAAATCACAAAAATTATGAGTGATTTTGTTGGAAAACTGACACAATGTCATAAATATGTCCAAAATAATAATAAAAAAGTCAAAACTTTGTAGAAAGTGGTAAAATGGATAACCACTTTTCATTTTGTATCATAAATACTCTAGTTTATATTATACTGTCTAAACAATGTAATACTATTATTCTATGATTCACAAAGATTCATAACCAAGCAATGTAAATACTCGAATGGAAAGTGATGAGGTGGATAACCACTTTCTATTTTGTGTCATAAATACTATGGTTTCCTAAAGGCATCCAAACAGCCTCTTATGGTCCCAAATTCATTGAGGCAAGACAGATGACGTTAGTGTTAATACGCAACAGGCCCCATATTGTTCATTCATGCACCGTGCTTTTCTTATTTTTTTTATTTTTCATTTTTCCTCTTTGTGTTTCACCCTGAAGAACAACTTTGATCAAAATATACAACTGGGTTGGTGGAAGTTTTTCACTTTCGCGCTTCAATTTTAAAATTTCATGAGGACTTACCGCCCCCTTAACGCAGCAAATAACAAGATAACCATAAACTCTCTCATTTGAAAGTTAAACTAAGAACATGTATGGGAACTTTAAATTTTTATTTTATTGGCATGTTTGCGAGTTCACTTAGGGCCTGTTTGGATTCGTAGGGGGTGAAGGGAAGTTAAGGGAAACTGAGTGAAGGGAATGGAATGGAAAGGAAGGGAATTCTCTTCCCTTTGGTTACACCCCAATTTGGGGGTAACAATTTTTATACTATTAGGGGGTGAACCAAGGTGAATGGAGGTGAATTAACTTCACCTCCTAAGTGTTCCCAAACAAGGTGAATGGAGGTGAATGGTTCCCCTAACTTCCCTTCACTTGGCCCCCCCCCCCCCAAAACAAATTCCCCTCCTTTACCCTCCTAAATGGAACTCCCAAACAAGATTAAAATTATATTTCTCTTCCTCTCCCCTTCTCTACCCTCCATCCAAACAGGGCATATGTGGATTATCATCGGGAATGTTTGGTAAATTTAAAAAACGGATAGATTATAGGGAAAAATTGCTTCCAGGCCCCAAAAGCTAAGGAAACGTGCTTCCCACCCTCAAGACTTTGTCAACGGGTGTTTTACCCCCAAAAATAAAGATTCTGTTCTCTGAGCCCCCAAAACACAAAACTCAAGACATTAAAACATGTGAAGACCATAATACCCTTCTCTCTCTCTTTCTTTTTTTATTAAAATATGATGAGGATTATTTTATTATTTTCGTTTCCTCTATCTCTTTATCATGATGTACTGAGATGATAGTTGAAATGATTGATGATGACTATTTTATTATTTTTGTTTTTTATTATTTTTATTGTTTGTATTGGGAGATTGTTAAAGTTACGGGTTAATTGTTAAGGTTACGAGTTAATTGTTAATGTTACGGGTCAATTGTTAATGTTATGAATCCTCTCTCTCTCTCTCTCTCTTTTTATTAAAATATGATGATGATTATTTTATTATTTTTGTTTTCTCTCTCTCTTTATCATGATGTACTAAGATGATAGTTGAAATGATTGATGATGATTATTTTATTTTTTTTTTGTTTTTTATTATTTTGGTTCTTTGTATTGGGAGATTGTTAAAGTTACGGGTTAATTGTTAAGGTTACGAATTAATTGTTAATGTTACAGGTCAATTGTTAAGGTTATGAATCCTCTCTCTCTCTCTCTCTCTCTCTCTCTCTCATGATGTTTCTTTGGAGCATTATTTTATTATTTTTGTTTTCTCTCTCTCTCTTTATCATGATGTACCAAGAGGATAGTTGAAATGATTGATGAGGATTATTTTATTATTTTTGTTTTTTATTATTTTGGTTGTTTGTATTGGGAGGTTGTTAAAGTTACGGGTTGATTGTTAAGGTTACGGGTTGGTTGTTAAGGTTAAGGGTTTGTTGTTAAGGTTATGGGTTTGTTGTGTAGGTTACGGATTTGTTGTTAAGGTTACAGGTTTAATTGTTAAGGTTACATGTTTAATTGTTAAGGTTACGGGTTTAACTGTTAAGGTTACGTATTTAATTGTTAAGGTTACGGGTTTAATTGTTACGGTTACAGTTTATTAATTATTAAGGTTACGGTTTAATTGTTAAGGTTACGGGTTTAATTGTTAAGGTTACGGGTTTAATTGTTAAGGTTATGGTTTTAATTGTTAAGGTTACGGGTTTAATTGTTAAGATTACGGTTTAATTGTTAAGGTTATGGTTTAATTGTTAAGGTTACAGTTTAATAGTTAAGGTTATGAGTTTAATTGTTAAGGTTACCGGTTTAATTGTTAATATTACGGTTTAATTGTTAAGGTTACGAGGGAGAGAGAGAATGGATCCATAACCTTAACAATTGACCCGTAACTTTAACAATTAAACCCGTAACCTTAACAATTAAACCCGTAACCTTAACAATTAAACTGTAACCTTAACAATTAATAAACCGTAACCATAACAATTAAACTCGTAACCTTAACAATTAAACCCGTAACCTTAACAACAAATCTGTAATATACAACAAACCCATAACCTTAACAACAAACCCTTAACATTAACAACCAACCTGTAATCTTAACAATCAATGCATAACCTTTACAACCAATCATTATCATTAACAACGAATATTCTAAAAATACAAAAAGAATAAAAAACAAAAATAATAAAATAATAATCCTATTTAATCATTTCAATATCATCAAAGAAACATCATGATAGAGAGAGAGAGAGAGAGGATTCATAACATTAACAATTGACCCGTAACATTAACAATTAATTCGTAACCTTAACAATTAACCCGTAACTTTAATAATCTCCCAATACAAACAACCAAAATAATAATAAACAAAAATAATAAAATAATCATCATCAATCATTTCAACTATCATCTTAGTACATCATGATAAAAAAAGAGAGAAAACAAAAACAATAAAATAATCCTCATCATATTTTAATAAAAAAAGAAAGAGAGAGAGAGAGAGGATTCATAACCTTAACAATTGACCCGTAACATTAACTCGT